CTGTGCCAGGTGCAGGAGAAGAATCAGTCAGGCTGAGACTGAAAACTGAGTTAACTTTTTGCGTATTCTCGGTCTTTAGAAGCAGCTAATTCCTTTTGGCAACAAGCAGAAGACATGCATATTGTAAGATTTTTTCTCTTAAGTGCCCAAGGGGCTTGGGAAAATGAGTCCCATTAACTTTCAATGAACTTGTTCAGCTCAACCCTGAAGATGTTTTCAGTATTTTTCCCTCTGAGAGACGGTCCAAGTAGTTCCATATCATACGCAGTGGAAATAATGTTCATGTTTGCTTTACTGTTTCTACAATTTGTGGAAATAAGCTGGTGTGAAATTAAATCTGTTTCCTTCTGTCTCTCTGTCCTTGACCTTGCCAGTTCTTCTTGCCATTTCTTACTTGGCCAAAGCCTGTATAATGACAAAAGCATGGCAGTTGCCTTGCAGCTGGAGGAAAAAAAGTATAGATTAACTTCAGTCCTGCATTTGTAGAAAACTTCTTCTTGGCCTGATGGAGGAGGTCATAAATAACCTCTGGCTTCTACTTCAGCCACCATTTTACCTGGTAAGGTCAACTACATACCTCATTTCTCATTTTCTATGGTTATTACTAGTAGAAGGCAAAAACAGAACAGGGAATCCACCGGGACTACAAAAATGCTCGAGAGCGCCAGGAAGTGCAGTGAAGCTACAAAGGGAAGTGTCCCCTCTAATTAGGGTTTATAGTTGCTTCTTTTTATCCATGACTGCTTTACTGAAGGCACTTGTCATGGAGAAGCACCCGCTGGTCCGGGTGTAGTTCAGTCCTGGGTTGTGGCACCGTGCGCTGTCTTCTCTTCCAGCTTGGGATGTCTGTGTATTGTACTGGCCCAGAAAGCCTTGCTGTCTGACTTGGCTCTGCTTGGCTACTGTTATTTCTGGTTTACCTCTGTGTGAGCTGAACCACGGGGATGTTAAGTTCATCCAGGCTGAGCAGTTCATTTGCTTCGCATCAGCATAAATCCTATACAGAAAGTCCCTGATTCCAGACTCCCACGGTGTGCACAGCACTGTGTTATCTCTCACAGCTGCTGTGATGAGCCAACACTGAGTGCTGTGGTACCTACTCTGACTTTTCCATGATTAAGTGGGTTTGGGTATTCACAAAATTAAAATAACTGTGTAGAAGCTTAACTCAGAGATTGTTCCCTTTTTCTTTATACTCCTTATATAGTCATAAGAGAGGGAGATAAGATCGTGTTTTGCCTGTTTGGAGAAACAAACCATCAAATCCTGTCAAATCAGAGTTGGCTTCTGGCTTACGTAGTCCATATTTAGAGACTTAAGGTAGAAAGTGTGAGCAATTAAGGAGGAATTTATCTGTGCTACTAAAATGTGTGTCCATTTAGCTGCATGCATTTGGCTGACTGAATTTGAAGCTGGTAGCAAATGGGTGCCCAAACAAAGGGATGATACAAGGATCACTTAGAGTAGGAGCAAGTAGAATTTTGGTTTTCCAAGCCGAAAGAAGAATGTGTCAACCTCTTGCAAGATGAATTGTTCATTTAGTGTTTATTTTCAAAGTCTGCTGAAATAAGATGGTTATCTTAAGAATTCCGCCCACTGAAATCTGTGGATTTCTGTAGTTATCTGGTCCCATATCTTATATTTTTTTGTGAGCTGGAAAGAAAGCAGGGCTTGTCTGGAAGGAAGTACTGAAGTTTCAGTGTCTTCTACTGAGTTAGATTCACTACTTGGCTATGGAAATGATCCCCAACCTATCAACAACTCTGTACACTGGCAAACCTAAATTTATTAGAAGAGTACTGATTTTTTTTATACACACAGTAGATTCTAAAGTGCTTTTTATATAGTTCAGTTCAAGTGTTTAAAGAGAGAAAGCATGAGAAATGTAAACATTGTTGACACGAGCTGTTTTCTATTAATTAACTTATGCATATCAAACAGAATGCTGTTGCCAGCACTTTACATGCTGTTCCCTTTCCCCAGAAGCTTGTTTGCCAAACACAACACAGGTTACATGGTGGGAAAAATAATCAGGGGAGTCAAGGCTTGATCTCAACTTCTGCTGCCATGTATACGTCCCTGGCACACCTGTAGACATGTTTACAGGAGCAAGTAGTTCTACTACATAAACACAAGGGGATGGGCTGCTGAATTACCTCCCTGGAGCTTTCTAATAGGTGCATTTGGAAGTTTTGGGTCTAAACAAGATCTCTGCACTGCTTTATGCCTTCTTGGAAAACTGGCAATCAAAGACTAAGGTGCTGGCTGGGTACTTGCAGCCTTGCTCCTTGGCATCCAGCCCTGGTATTCTTTTGTCTCAGTTCTGCCCAGCGGTTATCACACTGCCTCAGCATGGAGAAGGAGCAAAAACATTTTTTAAAAGTGCAAAGGAAGAAGTAGAATTAAGATAAACATTTACATAACTGGGGAAAATTACCCAGGAAGGACTGGAAATCTGATGACATTCTGTTTACCTAGTGCAGTATTAAAGCAGTTTGTGAGAGATACAAACCAGAACACTTTGTATAAATCACTGTGAATGTAAGGACCTGTGAAGCGAGACAGTAAACATTAAAATTATCAAGCTGGCTCAGCACAATAGAACTTACTCAAAACAAAATTTTGCACCATACCTTTACTAAAATTCTCTTGAGAAGGGAAAAGAAGAAGGTGGTAAAGAGCTTCATGTTAAGAAATGGTACTATATACTCAATATGTAACATCTACCAACTTTGCCCATTCTGACCAAATCTAGGCCTTGCTATTCTGTAAACGCAGGTCTTTCTGAGACCACAAAGTGTTCATTCTTGCTTCATTTTGTTAGAATGCTGTCACTAACATTAGGTAGTCATGAGATGTGCTTGCACATCTTGCATTGTGCTTGCACATGTGCTTGCACTTCTCATGCATTTTAGCCAGCAAAGTTGTGCAGAAATCTGGGCTTTGTATTGACCAGTCATCTGCTTGATACAACCCTTGCAAGATATCAGACCCCATGTAAGAAATGCACCCTGTTTTTTCCCAAACAGAGGCTTCATTTGGAAAGCTACCACAATATTTGGCTCCTCTTTCTGAAGCTAGTCTGAATTTTTCATGCCCTCAAATTAGATTAGATGCGTGTTTTCTCCCAAGATTTTGTTGTAATCCTAAACAGGATTTCTCAAGAGTTAGGGTTCAGTTGCAATATTGGAGGAGGTGCTGGCAGGCATAGAAATGGATATTTCCTTTTTTTTTGGCTGGGCTAATCTAGCAGCCCTCTTGATTACAGCATGTGGTGTGTGAAAGCAAGCATCAAACCAATCAGATAGGCAAGGCTGGAAAGGGAAGTAGCTAAAGAGGTCTGGGAAAAATCCACAGTGGGAGATCTGAGCAAAAAAAGAAGTTCGGGAATTATTAATGTGCAGATGGATGAGAAATTCTCTCCAATGGGAAAGGACCACAGCAGCCACAAAATTCACGTTTTCAAAATAAAACACAGAGATCATTTCTTAATGAAAGCTTCTCAATAATAACATAAGACAAGCAAATGAATTAAAATAACATAACCACCCTTCTCACTGCCTGGGAAGAGAGAGAAATAGTTTTGTGCTCAACTTAAATTTTGTAATAAATACTGTATAAGAACATAAGCTTGATAGCATATGTCATGATAAATGGAGTCTAGTCTACCAGGAGGCATTTATTAATAAAAAACTACAGCGACAGCCAAAACAAACAGGCCTCCACAGAGCTCAAGTTTCTGCTTTGTGTTCTTCACTTGCCAGTGATGTCTAGAGCTCTGTGCACAGCAGTGAGACACAGAGTAGCTGAATGATAAGTCAGAAGATGGATACGAGCTACTCAGTTACACCAGTAGATATGGAGACAGGGAAAAGAGTCTGGCATGAGTCTGATGAGACCAGGGAGTGGTGAAGTGGCTGATGAAGCCCAGGGAACACAGGAGCGTGACAACTGTGAAAGGAGTTCTGGGAGGAGGAAGGATGAGTTGCTTGAGTGCTGGAGCTGATTTATTCACTTTCTGTGGGAATGAAAACTAGTGGCAAATCCCAGTCCACTGTCAGTTCTGAACATCCAGACAGATTCTGGACTCTCATCCAAACAGTGTGTTCCCCTTTTCTTCTCACAGTTTCTTGCCCTTCTCTTTGTCTCTCTTATGTGTCTCTGCTTGCTGTGGTGGCAGCTGTGTGCTCCTTGAGAATGTAGTGTTTGAGGATTTCCCCATGGGAAATGTTTCTGGACTTTCTCAGGTCAATGGGAAGCTGCTCCTTGGATGAGTACCTGTGGTTGATGTGGCACAGTGCCCACACCTACTAGCTGGTAGTAAAATGTAAATGCACCTTCCTTCACTCTCTGTCAAAGCAGCAGTGTTCACACAGCAGGAAGATGTCAGGGCATTTTGGGTGGTCTAAGCATGTTCATATTATGTTCTGTTTTATTTAGTTTTATTTTGTTACATTTTTTTAACCTTTGGAAGCAGGTTGTGTTTTCTTCCCTTTGAAAGTAAACAATTGATTCCAAGGCCAGTAAAAATGTAATCTCTTCACAAGGCCTGAAGCCGAGCCTTTCCCAGTAATGTTATGGCAGGTCATTGTTCTGTCAAAAGATTATTAACTTTTTTTTGGTGTTAAAATATAAATAAATAAATAGGAAAGTTGTACGTGCCCCTGGGGCACTCGCTCAGCTATGAAAATACAAAGTACAAGTACATTTCTTGTCAAAGAAAAGAGAATAGGGATATGCTTGGAACAATAGCAATCAATTTCAGAAATACTGTCATTTATTAGGCATGGCGGCTTCAGATTTTTGAGGCATGCATAATACAATCTTTCTCCCCATCCCTTTTACCCAAGCAGATAAAACTTTTGGTGGAATCGGGACACAACTCACATGAGGCTGTGTGCAGGCAAACAGTAATTCATGACAATTCGTTCTGCTCTTCTCTGAGACAGATTGTGTTACCAAAGATTTGGTGTTCACTTTAATAACAATTTTTTTTTTAGATATGGTTCAGCACTTCCCCAGAGCTTAAAAGCCATGTACATACCATGAAGAACAAGATGAGAATTCTTCTCTTCCAGGTCAGCTGCTATTTAGGTATTATAGTACATAAATACATGTCTCTCTACTTCTTCTCTAAGACACAGAGTATCATAACTCGATTTATTTTCCATTACAACAGTGTTAAGTAGCTGTTATCAATGACATAAATGAAGAGTACAGTAATAAAATTCTTCCATAGTATCCAAGAGTTCCTTTTTCACACAAGAAACTCCCCATCCCAATACCCAGAGCTGAGCTTGCTGTTGGAGCCCTGGCTTACTGGTGTGTTAAAAGTTTTTGGCACTTGAAAGTAGAACATATAAAACTGATTGGTGTTGAAGCTTAGTTTGGGGGAAAAAACCAAAACATTTCATATCTGATCTCTTGCTCAGCTTTAGCACTTGGGAGGTCTCTGGCTTACTATAAAAATCAGATAAAATTTCGTGCCAAAATCAAGAGTCATAACAATCCATTTAACAAACTTGCCTGATTTGCTGGAAGATCTAACACTTGATCTTCAGACATTTGTCTTTGCTCTCTCTCTGTCACTCAGTAAAAGAATACTGTGTTCCTAGTTAAGCTTGTTTCTCCCCATACTCAGTGAGGCCATTTTTGTCATCCTACCAGAGACTTTGTGACCCTAGTTTGGTTGCCGTGGCTAAAAAAGATCTTTCTGACTCTCGTTCGCTGTGAAGCTGCTACCACTAAAAATGACAGGCCAGACTTTTGCCTTCTTTTTTACATGAACTTCTTAGTTGTCTCTACCTCACATCAAGTCCTGGTTTGTCCCACCACAGCTGCTCCCTGGGAGCTTGCTGGCAGAAGGACGGTTCTTATACTTGTCACCTATTAAAAGATTAATTATTTCCGTGTTGAAAACACATTGGGACCTTTTGGCCACAGGTTGTGATCTGTCACATCCACTCTGTTCTTTCTCACTTGCTGGAGCGTTGGGCAGGGCCAGCACGATGCCATCAGGCAGAAGGGTTGTTCTGGGACAATGGAAGTGGCAGATGTAGCCAGGAGCAGGCGATGACTCACAGCAGAGGAGTCCTCCTGCCGCGCTGGATGGGGTCCTGGCACGCTCCGCTCTGTGACTGGGAATGTCATGGCTGGCTTTGGCGAGATGTGCACAATAATTATCCAGTGGCTTAAGGAGGAAACACAGAATAAAAAACATTCTGTAACTTCAGCCTCAATGACAGCAGGGCTATTTTGCTGCAGTGTGACTGCTTCCCCTCAAGCCAGCTCATGTATGGCATTTTGTAGCCGTAACATGACGCTCACCCTGCTTCACCCCAGAAGGCTGGAGCTCCTCTTTGCCATGTCACTTCATCACCTGATTGTTGGTTGTATGCATTATGAGAGGCAGTGCTTCTGCACAGCAGGCAGAACTGAACCTTGTTGCAAGTCCATTAACTCAGATGGAGCTACCTCCAGAGATGAATGTGTATGGAACTTCAGCGCTACTTTAATCAGAGTATTTCATATTCATGAACCTGTGTGTAAAGGGAGCTGTGTAATTAAGATCATTCATAATGCTGTAGGGTATTCAAACTAAGATAAGGAAGGTAACTTTTTTTTTAAGGGCACAAATTGATCTCATGCTGGTGTTAGGAAAGCCTGATCCAGTGCACGTGTTCGGAGGAAGATTTAATGGTTGTGCTGCTGTTCTCTGAGTGCATGTAAAAACAACAATAAGATTTTCTGATAAATAACGTAATCATTTTACTCAGTGTTGATGTCTGTAACCAAGGCTAAAATACAGTGATGTGCATAAAAACTGTGGTGAATCAATGCAGTGCTTGTCTGTAGCCTCCTCCTGAACACTGGGAAAGGACAAGACTTCGGGTGATAAACTGCTGTGCCTTTCCCTTCTCTCATCCTCCTTAGAATTCCTCAGCATGTGAAAAGACATGCATCTTCTTCTGAAGGGAAAGAAACACAGCAGGTATAAGGCATATGCACAGTCTCATAGTATCTCACTGTTTGCCTGGCTCATTCAGAGCCTTGAAACTCCCCTTCACCTAAAATATGACCTGCTGTGGGAAAACAGAGGACTTTCTGTCCCCAGGAGTCTGCAAATGGTAGTTATGGAAGAGGTTTAAAAATGTGTTTCAACACATCATGCAATTAATAATCAGCTTTGTACTCCCTTCTGGCTTAGGTTACAAAGGAAAGAGGCATTCAGCAAGGCTGTCCTTGCTTTCCACAAATCTCACAGCAACTTGCCATGAAATTGTTCAGAAAGGGGCCTGAGAGCTGATGCACGGAGGCTTGAGAAGCAGCTTGTCTGTTGTTGCAGACTGAGCCCTCTGCTTTTGGGGTGAGTTTGGAATTTTCCTTAAGAAAACTCATCTGAGGTAGAGGAAAACACCACCTTCTCCCTCTCTTGGTGAAGTGCAGATCCGATCTGGAGAGGAAGCAACGATTTTTATTCCACTTCCTTACCTGCTGGTTCTGAGATCCAGGAGACAAAACCTCCTTCTCCCATGGCAGCATCTGTTAACCTCTTGTCAGTCCCTCCTCTCTTCAGTGTGGAAATCTCTAGGGGCTTGTTTGTCCCACAACCTGCACCATGTATTTGCCAACTTTAAGCATTTTGTGAAAGTGGAAATGTTATTGCCTGATTAATCACCTGGGAAGCTCTCTAGGTGGATCTGAAGTGTTTGCTTGGGGTTCAGATTTACACAAATGCTCCTGCTCTTATTTTTGTATCACTTTACTGAAGAAAAATGCCTTCTTAAATTTGATTCTGATGTATTATTCTTATTTCCAGTCAAATAGTTTTCTGTCCTCAAAAACAGTCATTTGCAGTTTCAGTGAAGGCTCACTAGAAGTTTCTTTGATATTGTACTTTAGAAAATATGACAACTTTTGCTGTATTCAATTCTATGCCTGGCAAGAACACTGTTCTAAATGACACTGGAAGTCCTGAAAAGCTGATATAATTTGATATAGCAATCTTTGTGTCTCTGCACAATTAGTCTTTCACAAGAATAATGGCATTGTCTCTGATGCTTTTGTCAGGTTCTAAACAAGATTGTTCTTGATTTGCAGAACTTACCAGGATGCTGATAAATGGCTGTCACCCCTTATTGGACATGAATTCACTGGTGAGTGAACTGACCCGAGGTTTAGATCACAGAGAAGTAGGTCAGGTTTGCAAAGGGGTTTGAGACTCTCTAAAGAAATGCACTGCTGCAAATAAGATTGCAATGCTGAACAGAGCAATCCTGAACACACTGTATGCTTCATGCAGAAAACTTGCAACAGCTGAGGAAGAACAAACGATGGTTGCATGTGGCAGCACTTGGAGAAATTTATCTTTTAAGAAAAATAAACTCCTAAATGCTTTTCTTGACATGGAAATCCAATATTGTTTTAGCATCCAAGTCCGGTCTCGTGCCTATAGAAATACCTTTGCCATTTCTTAGGGCTAGATACTTTCCAAAGCATAAAGTAGCAAACATGAACGACTACGTGTAAGGCATTATGCAGTAATGAAGGTTTTAAGTGAAAGCTAAAAGACTGTGCCATAGAATTTTCCATGAACTGTAATGGAAGATGCATGGTTAAACCACCCATACTGCAATCCTTATTTTCATTACAAGTTCTACCACTGTCTTCTTGCCCTTCACTGAGGTCTCAGTTGGTTTTTGTATTTTTCTTTTTTGCTTTTTCTGGTTTAGACAAATACCACAGTAATGAATATGTTAGAATAGCTTCTAAAATAATGGAATTTCTATAGTTTTTCACTGTTTTCCCCCCCTCTCTTTATCCATTTTTACAAATAGATAACCAAGAGCCAAAACAGTTCTTTGGTTTCAGAGGACTCCAAGCAAACTATCCAGGAGATTCTAGAAAGCTCAAATAATTTATTTCACAGTAACTCATATATTTATATTCCTGGGCATCTCTCAGCTCTGGAAAGAGGGAGAAACACCAAAGTACTGTGGCACAGTCACTTTTTTAATGATATTCCTGTTTTAACCTCAAATGGGAGAACTTGCCATCTAGACAAATGTCCTAACCACCCGGACCTATTCCAGTATGAGGTACTCTTAAGTTCCTGTGAGAAGCTTTAACATCTTGGGGTTTGTTGTGAAGAAATGCTTTGGAGTTTTTAACTTCCTAAGCCATTTCAGGACAAAGAAATTACTTCAAACTCTCCAACCCTTTCCTAATATTACATTTTATAGGTAGGTGGATCAGTACCTTTTATTTCTGAAAGCAATAACTGCTAAAATGCATTTCTTGAGTAGTTTTCCAAACAGTAAACTTATTACTGGTAAAGTATAAAAAAAATAGTATCTAAATTAGTTTGGCAAATAGTATCTAGCTAGCACTTTATATAATTTTGGTGCATATGGGATAGAGAACTAAGATTTTATCTGAAGAGTTGTGCCTTGGAAGGAGATCAGATAGAGTTTCTCTTCTGATGGCAATTTTGTTTTGCTTCAGTGTTTTTCTCTGGAGGATCTGGATTATTGTAGCCGAATAGAAAAACATCTTTTCCCGCTGATTTGAAAGCAAAATGGAAGAAAAACTGATGTTGTAAGAAAAACTACTCCATAAATACAGAAAAGGAAGAAGAAAGGAATACCCTCAAACCAAACAATCAAAGAGACCCATTTTCTTTTCGGGTTTTCTTTTTTCTTTTGGTGATGACATTCAGTGGTTGATTAATGTTGCGTCAGGCCAGGTTTTGTTTAGCTACATAATATCTTTCTGCAAACTCTCTCCATGCCTTTGTGGATGGTGACAAGAGCCTGGATTTTCCTAGTGATGATTAGTGCCTTGGGGCTGTTCTCAGTGTGGTGAGTGATGCTCTGATTGTCCCTTCTCATCAGGCAACATTAGAAGCAAGCACTTTCTATGGAATTTGTCTTGTGCCAGAGGATGTGCATCATTATTCCAACTCTTTGGCTTCTCTCCTTCATTGAAATTCATTTGGATCTGCAAAGCTCTCCCGTGAGCATGAGCACTCTGGGCAATTGGATATACCCCATTCCCCTCTAAACTCTCTCTCCCTTTTTACCCATTTGTACAAGACATGGCTCATTCTCCTTTCTCCTGTAGCTCAAGCACTGAATCAGGCTCGGTAGGTTCTGCTAATGCTCCTGTCACTTCTTTTTTTAAATGTTCTAGCAAAAGTGACCTGGCCTTTTGGTATCTCAATTGCCTCGTGTTTTAAATAAGGATAAAATCCATTCCTCCTTCACTCATTACTGGTATTTCTCAATCAGAGCAGCCAAGTCTATTAATCTGAAAAGGAAAACTAGAGTAGCCACAATTGTGTGTTCAGCCTTTGTTGGGAACTGCTCCTCCCGGACAGCACCCCTCTACTCCTTGTTGTGCTCCCATTCCTGCACTTTGGTTGGCCTTTCCTGAAAAGTCTCATTCACGAGCCATATGGGGCTACCTGGCCACTTCCAGATCTGATGGCACTGCAGCCTTCCTTGTGGATTCAGTAGCACTGTCTGTGGTGTGGAATGTGTCAGAAGAACAGTCAAAGTCAGTATGTCTGCTCGGGTAGCACTGATACATAGAGTTCAAAGAGTAGAGAATTATATGTCTGAAATGTAGTTTTTTAGAGGCCAAATAAAAAGAACTGAAGAATGTATATAATACACTCTGAAGTAATTGGTTTTTTTTTTTAATTTTCAGAATTTGTTTTAGACCAGTCTCCAGAAATTACATTTGAAAGTTTTTTGGTTTGGGTAATTTTGAATGCTCTACTCTTTCATTTTCATTGTGTGGTAGAAAATCACGTAAGTTTGCTTCAGAGATTGGTGTTGCTTCATTTCAGTATTAAATATAAATGTATTCCGTTTTTTTAAAGAAACTGATTAATTTACTACACCATTTCCTGCTTATTTTATCTGTATTTGTATCTCTTTTGCAGTATCTGTGTAAATAAGGATTTAAAAATTGAAAAAAAAATGTTTTGGTTCCTGCAACAGAATCACAGAACAGAAGAACATTTACAGAACCACAGAATAGCTCAAGTTGGAAGACACTTCTGGAGATCGTTCAGTCCATCCTGTCTGTTCCAGGTAAGATCAGCTACAACATGTTGCTCAGGGCTGTTTCCAGTTGGGTTTTGAGTATCTTCAAGGACAGAGACTCAACAACCTCTCTGGGTAACCTGTTCCAGTGTGTGACTTCTCTTATAGTAAAAATCTTTTTTCTTATATTTAAATAGAATTTTCTGTATGAGTCAGACCTGTCTTATTTACTATCTTCCATTGGGTAGGATTCTCCCATATTGGTAATATCCTCCCGAGACTTTTTTTTTCCTCCAGACTGACCAATTCCAGTTCTCTCATCCTTTTTGTGGTCCAATTTTTTCATTGGCTTTGATGGACTCAGTCTGTTAATAAAACTGTGTCCCTCTTGTACCAAGAAGCCCAGAACTGGGCACACCACTGCAGATGTGGCCTCACCAGTGCTCAGTGGAGGGCATGGATTACTTCTCTCAACCATGTTGGCAACACTCTTCCCAATGTAACCCAGGATATTGTTGGCTTTCTTTGCTGCAAGGGCACGTTGCTGCAAGGGCCCGTCTTCAGCTCGGGGCTCTGCCTTTCCTCACCCCGTCCCTTCACACTCAAACACAGTCTCTTTATTTCTCCTGAGTCACCTGTCCCTGCTTCTACCTCTTGCATGTTTTATTTTCATGCTGGAGTCATCAGGAACATCTTGTTCATCCATACAGGCCACCTGTGCATGATTGTTCCCTTGTCAGGACAGAAGAGCAGTTGGAGGAGTTAGTCCCAGCTCTCCCAGGCCCCCCTTCTCTCCAGGACTGTCTGCCATGGGATTCTCCCAGGCAGACCCCAGAAGAAAATAGTGTGCTTCTCTGAAGTCCTGCTTTTTGCCTTGTTTCCTCCTTACAGGATCCTGAACTTCACCATCTTGTGGCATTTCAGAGAAGCACCCACTCATGCAGATTCCCCAGGAAAAAAAGAGGTTCCCCTGTAGTGTCCTCTCAGCAGTTCTTTGTTTGGCTGTACTTGGCATGAGCCTCCTTCTGCCCTGTTGTGGTGCATCAACTCAGGACACTCAAAACAGAAATGTTAATTGCTGATAAGATTAAATGCGTATCATAAATGAATTTCCACTCATAGTATCAACACTGGATATTAAGGAAAAGACACTGACTTGCAATTGTCTACTGTGGTATCTTTTTTTTTCCTCTTTTTTTTCTGATATCTGCATTTACACTCAACCCTATAGCTAAGGTGATTCAAACTAGCTGTGGTAAGAACTGTTCTGCTGGCTTGCTGCCCAAAAATAATGTTCCATCATTTCCTGAGGGGGAAAAAAATTCTTGTAGACTTGCGGCCATTTGTCCTCACATCTATTTGCAGCTCCCTATTTCCCTTGAGAAGCATCCAAGAACATTTGGAAGTTGAATTTTCCGATGTCCTCACTGATCTCCACCCCCTTCCCACTCCAGTTCTTGGAAGGACCAGCTTATGAAGACAAATCTCCCACATTCTTTAATTCTATTATTCACTACTATGTGTCCATTTTATTTCTACTCATCACACAGCGTTTTTTAGCTCCTCCTTTTTCTGAACTTACTTGGAGATCTGCCCCCTGTAACACTTACAGATGCATAAACATAAAAAGTGGACACATCGTCATGTTGCAGATCTTATTTAACAGCAGATCCAGCTATCAGTTTATCATTAGGCAATGTGCTGACACACACAGCCCTGAGGGAGGTGATTGTGAGCTGTTGGAGACAAAATGATCGAGATTAGTCTGCCAAATATATGGTAGGTATTAATCATCATCAAATACAAGCTGAAACAGCATTTTTTTTTCTCAGAAAAGCACTAAACTACAATTCAAATCTTGTCCTTTTGTCTGCAGAATTACTGTAACATGCAGTGAACTGGTTTTTTTTTGACTGAATCAACTTTGACAGCGTATTGATCTAATAATTTTGCAGTTGCTTTCTAACATTACAATGTTTTCTTTTCTCCTCAGAATTCCCCTTCAACACATAAACATATGGATTTTGATAAAATTCGACTGCATACACATACAACTTGCATTTTCTCCATTAGGAGATTTCAAATAAAGTCTTTATTCTCTTTACTTGATATTTCCCCTCACTGAAAAGACCAAAACCTACTGCACCTTTTCAATAGGTGTGTGCCTCCTTATGCTTGGAACAGAGCTTACTTAACATTGCATCTTTGAATTCAATATCCACTCCTTGATACACAGAATTAAAGTTAATATGCTTGTATGAACTACTTAAGCTTAAGTCAGGGCTTGATATCTTCTGCCTAGAGAGATTCAAATTCAGATTTTTCACAGAGTAGATTAAACTGCTCCTCAAATGCAGTAGATGACTCAGTTTTCCACTTCTCAGTGTATCTGTTTTGTCCTCACTGCAGAAATCAGTCTACCTTTCTTTAAAATAAGTGCATTCAGTGTTACATGTGATGTCAAGGAGGGAGCTCTAGTTATGCTGATCATGGTCTCAGGAGCATGTTGCAGATCACAGTGTAACTGGTGACACCAATACAATAAAAAAGAAAAAATGTTTTGTTGTTATAGTGCCCCTAAATTTGCGTTCAAATAGATATTTGTGTAGCTAACAGATCACTTAAAACTGTGCTCTGGGCACCTCCTAATACTGGGAACTCAGTATAAGTAGCAATTTGCCATTAAGATTTTGCCAGGAGTGACTAAATGGCACAGTTAAATTTGCAGTGTTCCTTCAAGGTTCATTTCCTTTCAGGAAAAGATCAGCAGTCAAACAGAACAAGAGCTGTTCTAGAGAAACAGGATAATCAATTAGCGACTACTTTTAGCCAAATGATTTTACCCATTAGTATATTTTTCCCAGCACTGTTTTATTAGAATAGCTAATGATGTTAAACTTCAGAGCCCAGATGGATTTCTTGCTTCAGACTCGGGATTGAATATTGTAGGAAACTTAAAACTAGTAATTTTGGGAGGTTTGATCAGGAAAGAGAGTAAATTTCTCCATTAAATGACTCTTTGTGGATAATATCATCTTCTACATAGAAACTGCTGAACTATTAATATAATACCACTAAAGCTTTTTCAGTTCCCATTTTTTGGCATAAAGATCTCATGTTATTCTGCTGACAGCATTGCCTTAAATGATACAGCACAGAAGTATGTTAAATACATTACTGTTTCTATTTAGATTTGCAAACACTTAAATCTGAAAAGAGGAGGTGAGAGGATGGCTATTTAAAATGCTTTTTCCTTCCTCACATCAAATACAGTAGGTAAATCTGGTGCTGAAATATTATTGTCTTCTAGTTATGAACACAAGGTATCACTAAGCACTGCTTTCTAAAAAATCTCTTGTAGGAGACCTCCTGAGAATGAATTAGGGAGTGATAACATTGAAATAAAAGGGTTTGTGTAGCAGTAGCTGGAAGTAGAATTGGTTTGTTCTCCTGCCAAATGGATATATACTGACTTCACTGGGCTTATTCAGTACTGGGGAAGCAAATTGTGTCTTTGTTGAAACCAGTGACAGAACTCTCACTGACCTCAGCAGAACCTGGAATTAATGCTCTGTTTCTCTGTAACTTATGTTTCCATACAGTTTATAGGAGGGGACTTTTTTGTCTTGGTCAATGTGGTAGGAGCCAGTCAGAACGTCAAGGAGATCTATGAAGTAACTGCAGACTAATGTGACTGGAAATGAGAGGAGAGTTTGACCTGCTGTCTGTTGGAGAGGAAATGTGAAGTAATGAAACCAGAGTGCAAGGAGACCACTAGAACTGGAAGATGAGCTGCTATTTGGAAACAGCACGACAAGCTGGAGCTCCAGGTTTGCTGTAGCTAACATGTGACATGGAAAGGAGGGTAATTTCTTGTACCTAATCCATTACCATTACAATTGAAGCTAGAAAATGTTTGACTGCAATGTTTCTTTCTAAATTCAGGCAGGAGCTGTAGCAAATACGTAAAACTTGTGGCTTTCCTCAGCAAATGGAAGGATACATCAGCTGAGCTTTTCCTGTACTCTCAGTTCCCTGGAAAATTATGAACATCGTAACATATTCAGAGATGACATTGATGCCAGGTCACACAGCTACTGGCTGAGGAGTGCTGAAGTGCTCTCTGAGGATGGTTAATGTTTCTTTTTATTGCATAGTCAAAATAAGACAGAGCTATACTGCAGACTCTTTTCCACTTGTACTCTGGGGGTTCTTAAATATTTCACTTTTCCTGGTGGCTATATGCAGCAAAACAAAACATCAGCCAGTAGTTTACGTTTTTGCTGCCTGCTTTATTTAGCACCAGCCCTGAATTGACTCTGGGCATTTATAAAAAGAGAAGTCTCACAACACTAAGCCCATGTGAAAGCTGGTGTTGGCATTCCCCTGTGGAGATTAAAAACAGAGGGTGTGCCGTGCAGTGCCAAGCCCAACTTCATGGCTATGGTAAGCCAGGGAGCCTGTCCCGTCACTGGCTGTGTAATGCTCTCTGCAAAAGTGCGTTGGGGATTAATGGTGTAACTGTTTCTGTCACTGTATTTCCAAGTGAATTCACTGGTCTGAGGATGTGACTGATACTTAAAACCGAGCCCTGAATCTAAGTCAATGCGGGACAGTCCTTCCCAAGAGAAGCATGTGTTGCAAAATGGACATGAATTTCCATTTGTCAAAACCTTATATTAGTAAAACTGGTACTAGATTAGAATATAAACATTTTATATCCCTGAAAAGTTAGGAAGTTCTCAGTGTTATCGTAACGAGACCTCATTTATTAGAAGTTATAGGAAATATAGCTTATTTCTTTCTATATTTCACTGTCTTCATGCCAGTAAAAGATGGTCAATGACATGTTAATGTTAGGAAAACACTCAGGTTCTTTTTAGATGTTAGATTTTACAAGCTAAAAGGAGACAG